ATTGGCTGAATTGTCCAAAATCTTTTTTATTTTTCAGAGCAGTGAACACCATGCAGGAATGATGAGTCCATGTTCATATATTTCCTCTGTGCTGGCTGCTTTTCATCCATGTGGCCTGTTCTTGGCAGAGGACGTCCTCCCATGCAGGGCTGCTGCACCAGCACCTAAATTATCCAATTAGACAGTGGGCAAGTCTGTGTGCAGGCCACAGTGTGTCTCACAGAGAGGCCTAATCACGTCAGCCACAGAGAAACTGCACTCAGTCCTAATATATTGGATTTCTGTTAAAGGTGATGAGCTAATCTGCACACACACACAATCACACACACACACACACACACACACACACACACACACACACTCTAAAGACAGACATCTCTGTGAATGAACTGTTAAATATTCTCAGTAATCTGCAGCGTCACCTTCATGTCATTATGGTTGTGTTGTTCTCAGGTGTTGTACAGACAGGTGACACATCAAAGGAAAAACCTGACAAATAGAAACAGACCAGACACTGTGACATCTATGACTTTCACAGTCACCACATATCAAAAGTGAAGTGACAGTGAAGTTGAAGTTGTCAGACTTCAGATAGACTGATTCTGAATTCATCTGTTGCAAAAAGCTGTTTAGTTCTTGACTATTTTAAGATGGACTGTGGTACAATGAATTCTGGGTAAAATAAGCCTTTTTTTTCAATATAAAAAAAGCTCAGACAGAGAAACCACATCCAACTGCTGAGCTCCATTTAACCTCAGCAGAATATGTTTGTCTTTGGGAAGAATTCAACAGTTACAAGACGTTTTACTTTGGAAATTCAGTGAAGAGTGAAATAATAAAAAGTAAAATAAAAAAAAAACGATTTGTCCTTTAAACTGTCACTTGTTTGCATTGAATCAGGTTTGCAGTAGAGGTTAAAGGTCATGGTTACTGCATGTGGTTAAATCGTGGTTCAGTTGTGTCACGGCTCGGTCACAGTTTGGTCGTTTTTAATGTTGATCTTTCAGAAGTGGAATGTCAGACACATTATCAGGGTTGTTTTGCTTTATTTTCTCACCATCTTTTGTATCTTTATTTCCAGAATAGCAAATATTAGCAGACGGTGTTCTAATATTAATAAATGGGTCCATTGTACTGTATAATTATTTCCTAGAATGTTTCCTTTGTATTTAGGATTTATTATTAATTATAGGAAAAAATGAAGACAAAGAAGTTTCTGAAAGAAACTTAAATTATTGTTGAATTATGTATTTGAGTCTTGACACATTGCACATTTTTGGATGTTCAGCTGACTCTAGCTTATGCTAACTTAGCAGTTAATTGGAAAGTTGAAAGTATGGCGATTGAACACTGTCACTGTTTTACCTATAATTAGATTCTTTCCTCGAGACTTGCTTCACACCTGTAAAGTAAAACTTTAAAGAACTAAAAATTTGTTTTGTAACAAGTGAAGTGTATCATTACACACATATATAACCTGGGTTTCAAGGACCTATTTGTAAGTTTTGCTATTGCTACATAGCTAACGTTAGCATTAACTGCTGTAACAGTCTTACTAAGAGCTTCAGCCATCATTGTGTTTACATGACAAGAGGCTATTACACGTCCTCTGAGCTGAGGGACCCCTTCAGGGTAGCGTTGACCCTACAGCCACTCCAGCTGGACCGGGGCCAGCTGGTTAGCATGCTCACTTAAATAGATGAAAAGGAGTGATCGAAATAGAAGCAAAACCAAAGGGTTGTTTTCCACCTCTGGAAACAGTTCTTAGTGAGTAAAGGAATGAAGTTTGATGCTGAACAATATTTCCTGTGGACTGGTGAGTAAATAGCTTTTAATGCTAACGTTAGCCACTTAGCAATAAGTTTAAAAGTTTAAAAGAAAAAGTTTAAAAAGTCAACTCTGATGACTTAGCTTTACCGTGCCTAAGATGCTCTCAGCCTCCTACGGTGTGGGTAGACTCCTGTTAATCGACAGTCATTTTCTAAGAGTCCTCAGTTACATTGCTTTTATTATGATCATCTGACCAGAACCTGGAGCGTAAATACAGGCCTGGAGTGAGACATGCTGATGCTTGTAGCAGACGTTGGCAGCTGACTGGAGTGGCCGCCATGGAGCTGAAACAGCACCAAAACGTCCTGTGTGAAGGATGTATTACCATCACAGCGACTGTGTGATAGCATCAATGCAGAAATCTTTTCACTGCAGGACCTGACACTCTCCTCTGAAACCACTTACACTTTAAAGTTAGAGTGAAACTGAATTCTATGAGTCAGACTCAACAACAACAAGATTTACATAAAGTATTGGCTCATTGCTTTTCCTTTATTTGATTAGTGTGTGTGCGGCCTGAATTCAGTCTATAGATTTTTTTCAGCTTCCTGATGAGTGACATTTCAAGTGCTTGTTATTGTCAGTGCCTGACAAATGAATTTGGATTCCATGGCCGGAGAACAAGTTTGAGTCAGAACGTGTGCTGCTCAATCAAGTCGATGCAAATTCAAGTCAATCAAGTGAATGTGAACTTGTGTGAGGAGAATTGGAGTCTGTCGCCTGTTGCTGCTTGTTGTTAATTCATAACACTGGGCTACTTCTTCATCAGTTTGACTTGTGTGCTTAATTCCTCAGCAGACTGATGTATGGCCAGTGCGTGTCAGCAGCCCCGCCAAATGGAGCTTTACTGTCTAAACACCAGAGTGTCAAATTACCAAACCCTACAACAATATGTCAAACTGCTCTGATTCAACTTTAAACCAAAGACTCTCTCTTTACAAAGAGGAACATAACTGTGGCAGTCTTTTTTACATATTTTAGTTTTTAATGAATTATGGGGCTTTCAACTGGATTTTCTGCTTAATTGGTTTTTGAAATATCAGATGTGTCTCTGTCCTATATTACCTACTCATACTATTAAGTACACCGACTCTGTCTCATGTCAGTTTGTGTCCAGGTAAACCCAATGTAATCTATTGATTTCATGTACAATGATGCCGATTGTCCATTGTGATGCATATTGTTTTTAGGTTGTATGTCCGAATGTTTGTCTCATTCTTGTGGACACGATATCTCCATAACGCCTTAACGAAATTTCTTCAAATTTGGCACAACATCCACTTTTTTGTGAATCAAGGATGAACTGATTAGATTTTGGTGGTCAAAGGTCAAAGGTCAAGTTCAGTGTGACCTCACAAAACACTTTTTAAGCCATAACCCAAAACTTCACACAGTAATTATAACAAAATTTCACACAAATGGTTCATATTTTATATGACTCTGGATAGACAGGGATGTAAACCGCTAGTCTGAGTGGAGGAGGGAGACAACCATGAGGAGGAGATTCTATTTTTTTTTTTGCGATAGTCGATGAAAGTTTTAGTTTGTCAAATTGTAAAGAAATAAATAGAAATGTTCCACTGGTTTCACAACAGAAACATATCAAATTTTAGCGACTACAGCATGATTAAACTTTTTTATGGTTATGTTTAGGCACTCGCAGCTCTTGGTTTGTGAAAGGTTGTGGTCTGGTTTAAAACAGAAAAAAGTTCACAGTGACTTCAGACACAGTGTGTTTATGTTTATTTTATGAAAAAAACATGATCTTTTGTACCTTTACAAAAATGTTTTTAATGCCAGAACCAAACCACAGAGTGAATTCTGGATGCAAACCTGGATAATAATAAAGCTGATTTCCATTATGAGCTGTGTGTCACAGTCATGTCCAGGTAAACAAAATCAATAGGTCAAATTTCGTGTGCCTGGACACAAACTGACATGAGACTATATGCCCTCTAGGAACTGCATGCGATTCATTACATAATAATCATAATAATCTGATGCACTATTTTATTCAGGAAATTATGCATTTGTGGCACAAATATCAAACTAAAACACAAATATCTGTTACTTTAGAACAACAGAAGCCCTGCAGAAAAAAGATGACATATTTGGAATGACAAAAACAAACAAACAAAAATATTTATGCTTTGAAAATTGAGATACTATGACTTTTTTTTTAACCTCAAGTCAAAATTCTACAGTTCAGTGAAAGTTATGAGACTATAACTATGTCATTATGACTTAAAAGTACTTATTTAAAAAAAAGAATATTTACCTTTATAATTATGACTGACAAAATGTTTATATTTTTTAATCATTAGGTACTAACTTTTTTTTGGCAGTAATGAGCTTCCACAGAACCTCATCAGAACATATTTCATATAAACATTCAGAGCAGAGGTCACAGACATTAAACTGTGTCCAACAGCTTCTGGAGGTTCTCCAACGCTCCAAAGATTTGTGAGTAAAGCACAAATTAAGATTCCTCCCTGTCAGACATTTATTAAAAAAAACAAAAACAAAAAAAAAACAGTGCTTTTGATCAATGGACCAGATTATCATGTGTGTAGCAGCATTCCCAGCATCCAACCAGAACCAGGCCTCAAAAGATGTTGTGGAGCAATTCACTTCAAAATAAAAAAAAAATAAAAAAAATAGAGACTTACAAAGGATGTTATTATTATCATTTAAAAAATAGAGATACTTGAAATACATAAATACTGATAATTATAGGTAGCATAATAGTTATTTATAGATCATGTGTAGTATTATTATTCAATAATAATAATAATAATAATAATAATAATATTAATAATAATAATAATAATAATAGATATTTGTGGTGTTGGTGCTAACAGGGTGTCGGTGGTGTAATGTGTCCAGGCAGAGACCTGCAGCACGCTGCTCACATCCTTCCCGCCGCCGCTCACTCCGCTCTCTGCTCCTCCGCCTGCGACCGGCGGAGATGTGAAGTGGATTAAACAGCCGGTGGAACGCGGTGGGATTTGAACCGCTTTCTTATTTCTTTTGCCAGGACTGTGTCTATATTCACCGCATCGCTTCTGTGTGTGTATGTGTGTGCGTGTATGTGTGTGTGTGCTGGTGCGCGCGCGTGTCTTTCCGTGTGTCTGTCCGCGCGCTTGTGTGTGTGTTTTTCTCCCGTGCAGCTCCTCTCTGCTGGGATCCTGGTCTGCCAGGGGCTGCAAAACCGTGCTAGTCGACTCATTCAGAACCAAATGCGTGTGTGACAGACTGTCCACCTTCGCCATTTTAGCACGGCTAAATCCCGAAATGGTAAGTCCACCACCTCCCTTCACTTGTCTGCGTTAGACGTATCGGAGACGGTGTGTTTAAGGTATCGGAGACGGTGTGTTTTTGTGAGGTTTTATGTGAATGCATCAGCTGTTTTTTTTTCTTCCAAAGGGCGTCATTGTCATTACATATCAACAGATCCTCCCTCTCTCCCTCTCTCTCCCCTCCTCCCTCTCTCTGTCTGGACATGCCAAAGCCATGCTGCAAAGGCTTATTATATGCTTTTAAATTTTATTTATTCATTTTATTTCATTCATTTATTTCATGTGTTTATCTTTTCATTTTGGGTGGGTGTCAGTTTGCTCTGTGCTAACCTGTGCTGATATTCATACATGAGCTGGTGAGTGGGAGATTTAAGATTTAACATGATGATCACCTGCATGTAAACCCCCAACCCCCCTACCTTCACTTTCCTTATTTAATGTGAACACCAGCAATTGATGTTCATATTAGCATATTTTAACATATTACACTGTCACTGGTGTCGCCATGGTTACCAGGCCCCGTAGAGGGCATCTTCATGGCAATTCAATGTGTACAAAAAGAAAGACATTTTTAATAAGACTAAGCTCCACAAACACACTTCCCCTCCATTGTGGCTGCAGCTGGACACAGCCAGCCAGCAGTGTGTGTGTGTGTGTGTGTGTGTGTGTGTGTGTGTGTGTGTGTGTGTGTGTGTGTGTGTGTGTGTGATAATGTTTTTTTTAAAATGACAGCAGAATCCCAGTGACTCAAACATGCCCCAGTTCTTTGGGGAAAGGGCAGCTTCTTTGTGTCTTTGTGGGGAATTTTCATTCAGTGCGATTAGTTATTATTAGACTGGAAATTGCCTCGGAAGCAATTTGTTCACTAGTTGCCGTGGTAACAGCACCGAGGTTTTCTTAAAGACATAGGAGGCAGTGTGCTGTTCATCCTGCTGCCTGCGTGGCCTAGGAGGGGAAGGCTGTAGGCTGGGGGGGGGGGGGGGGGGTTGTGGATTACACTGATGGAAACAGTTTGGCTTTCCCGCCTTGAGTCAAGCTCATGTGATTGTGTTTGTTGGAGACAGTTGAGGTTTGATTGAAACAGACGAGCATGTAAGTGATGGTGCTGTGTGCTGTGATGGCTTCAGCAACAGCAGGCGTCACGCTGGGAGGCTGCAGTGCTGTGTGTGATCTGTGATCTGAGCTGAAATATCTGTTATCACTTAATGAGGTGACTGACAGAAAATTGGTCAATTTAAGGAATACCTCAGTACTTTGGAGATAATGTGATGTGTTAAGTGTGAAGCTGGAGTCAGGACGTGGTTGGGTTAGCTTAGCATGAAGGTTTGAGGGGACAGTTAGGCGGGCTCCATCTATCAACTCATTTAACGGTCAGTTTGTGGTTTCAGGAGTCAACAACAGTTTCTTCATCTGTCTGCTTTCTGCAGCGTCTCTAGCTACAGTCCTGCACAGTGACACTGGTTGGTGAGCAATGGGTTTGATATAGGTCACTGAACCTGCACACAGTCTCTGTGCCTGGCTGTAGTTCCATATTACAACAAATGGTTATTTTTATATTTCTGTTGAGCTTTAGGTCTTTAGCTTAGCTGTAGAGCTGTTGACTGGATTGCTGTTCCTCCCTTCTGTCTTTATGCTAAGCTAGGTTAACCTTGTCTTTGGGCTCAACCTTTAAATTTCCCTCTTGAAAAGAAAATGATAGAGTAAATTCCCAGAATGAGGGGCTTCTTTGAGTCAACTGAAAATCTTGATAATGATGGTTTCAGTCAGTTAGTTGCTTAAGATCTTTGTAAACTGGTAGTTTTACTGTTGGATGGCCAAAGCTATAGTCGCTGTATTTCTAACGTGTGGACATATTTGACATTATTTGTGATATTTTTTTGCGTAATGATTAATCTAATAATTGTTTATTGCTTTGTTTCCTCCTGCCGTTCACACTACTCTGGAATTTTCAAGCGTCTGAACTGAGACTTTCAGAAACACTGCTGGAATAGGACAACTCTGGGGTTGTTTTATTTTGAAAACTCTAGGGGTGTTTTTTATTTTGAAAACTCTGGGGTTGTGTTTTATTTTGAAAACTCTGGGGTTGTGTTGTAATCTGGACAGACAGAAACTGAGAGCATTGGAAACGATGACATCACACCCACGGTCTCTCCTGATTGGCTCTCATCAGCCTGGACTACTAGTGGTGAATACAACATGATAATGAACTACAGTGTTACAGTGTCTTTGCTAGCAGCTGTTGTTCACTTACATTCTCTATTTTAATGCTACAACTGTCTTTACTGTAACTAACCAACTACAGAGTAGACAATCTACTTCCTGTTTACACCAACTCGCACATGTTCAGTGTAGGTGAATGGTCATGAGATATGTGTTTTAGTGTGTTAGTCTAGATGGAGATTATTTCCGATATGAAGCTAAATCCCTCATGTAGATATTTTTAGTTTAAAAGTTGAAAATGTTTCAGTGTGGACGGGGCCTGACTTACTGAGCAGCTTCAGCAGCAGGAGCAACAAACACTGTATGCAGTAAATCATGAGATGTGTTTAATGCACAAACAGAACAAAAAACTAATAATCTAATATCAATAATGCTTTATTCAAATTTTCTGCTGTGTTTACTGGATCATAAATTACAAAATACTGCTGCTGCCTCAAGTACAATACATTAGTTACATTATCTTAGTTTTTAAATTATGAGCTGATTAATCAGTTACTTGATAAAATAAAAAAACAAAAGGAACCCGTTTTAATATTCGATTAACCATTTGAATCAATTGTCAAGTGAAAATGTAAAATTATGTGTGGATCATGTTTGAGATTTGGACATTACTCAGACAACAGTACTTCAAGATGCAACTAAAAATCAATTATTTGGTCTGTAAAACGTCAGAAGACAGTGAAAATATCCACACACCATTCCCTAAATCCCAAGGTGAAGGTGATGTCTTCAGATTCTTTGTTTTGTCCAATCAGAACCCAGTGAACCAACATCTGATCATGTGAGACAAAGAGCAGCAGAGCTGGAACATTGACTGTGACATTTCTGACTAAACTTCTTCAGATAATCAAAGGATGAACTAAGTCTTTCAGCTCCAGTTAAACTATAAATGTAACTATAAAGTATCTCTATATGGGGGGGTTAAAGAGGACCATGTTTCACTGCCCTTCATATACTGTTTATTTTATCTGATTGTTAGCTATGCTAGTGGCTCCATGGATGCCAGTGTTGCTCATTTTGTTGGATATTTACACTTCCTGTGGGATGAATCCTCCTGACTTTCACTTTAGTGACACTAGCAGGTACACATGTTTGTTTTTAGTGACATGTCTGGACATGTCATTAAATCTGGTTATTAGTTATCCAAAGTGCCAATAGGATGAATCCTAATACTGAGTTTGTTTTTCATGTGGCCCCTTCAGGTCAGAGTTGTCACTCATCTTGACAAATATCTTCTACTAGATGGATCAGCACTACATGTTGTACAAACTGATTGTTCTCAGAGGAGGAGAATAACTCTGGTCATCCCCTGTTCTGCAGCGCCTGTTGTCAAATACTTTAGTTAGCATGCTAACATGCTAAACTAAGATGATGAACATGACAAACATTATTGCTACTTGTTAGCATTGTCATTGTGAGCATGTTGCCATGCTAGCTTTAGCTTTTGGCTTAAATCACTGAAGCTCATCCTAAGTGAACCAGCACTGGGTCGTCCTCAGTTAGCTGTTCACCTGCTTCCACCTGTGCAGACGACTGCCTGTTCACCGCTCTGCTGCAGCCTGGAGGCTCCAACACCCTGAGGGAGGCTAAATGTTGACGGCTCCTTTCGCCAGGAATAGAGGAAAAAGGCAGCCCCCCCCCCATGCTGCCATCCCCTCCCCCACCTTCTATTATTTTGTGAGACAGCCATGGCTGCCATGCTAATTACGCCTACTGCAACAAACAGTAGCTTCTAAATGGCCCAGCCGCTCTGTCTGCAGCTAACCTCCTACAGCCCCAGCATGACAAACACCCCAGCCTCTTTTTTCCTCTCCATCTTCCCCCTCGTTCCTCTTTTTCTCCTATCTTCCTATTCTCTATTCATTCCATCACACCATTTTTCATGCTCTGGGGCTGCATTATATTTTAGCTCTCTCTCTCTCTCCCTGAGCTTACTACATCATTTACTCTCTCGCTGCCACCTCTAGTGTCCATTTTGCTCAGTCCAACTTTGCTGCAGGCTTTTAGAAGGAAAAACAGAGAAAAATACACTGCAGTCAAAGGCAACCAACACCCCCACCCCCCAAAGCCTGAGCCCAGTTTACTGCCACTGCTAGACCTGTGTGTGTTGAAGTGAAGGAGGATGAATGAATGTGCCTGTATGATTGTGGGTGGTGTGAGCCTGCATCTCAGTGTGCTGTCAGGAGCCTGGAGATACAGTGACAAGGCTTTTTGGCCAATTAGCCCACATTGTAAGGAAAACAAATAATTAAGGAGATCAGGGTTTCAGGTCACTGGAGTGTCAACACACTCAAATTCCAGCATGTATATGTTTGTGTTTCATCTTTTAACTGGCTCTAAAAATAGTTGTGATGGTCATATTTAGATAGACAACTGCAGCTGCTCCATGTGGGCTCTGCTGAAATGTAAAAAATGTCTAATGGGATTAAACATGAATACATGAAAAAATACAATACAACACAGCTGTTTGTGTGAATTTGTTCTGTAAAAGAGAAGTTGATTTTATTAAATATACATCAAACGATTAAATTTTCATTTTTAAACTGAAAACACATATCACATGACCATTCACCTACACTGAGCATGTGCAAGCCGATGTAAACAGGAAGTAGATTGTCTCCTCTGCAGTTGGTTAGTTACAGTAAATCCTCTGAAGGAGGAACAGCAAAGACAGTTGTAGCATTAAAATAGAGAATGTAAGTGAACAACAGCTGCTAGCAATGACAACAAGGTCTGTAACACTGCAACTCATTATCATGTTGTATTCACCACTGGTAG